CACACACACACACACACACACACACACACCACAGAAGGAGTCCCCCTTGTGTCCCTGCCCAGGACTCTTGACTTCTGCATTGCTGATATGTAGAATAAGCCAAGAGACAGGAACAAACATATCCTGCAACTCCTTATTGAATCCTTGGGGACTAGAGGTAGAAGAACAGGACTTGCAGCCCCAAAGTCTTGATTCTTTCCTCCATTTCAGTTTTAATGATATCCTCCTCCCTGTGTGGCTCATGATCCTCCTGTGGTTTATGAGCCTTCCAAAGGAGAGGTGACACAGTCAGCAATGTCTAATGGGCTCATGGCTTTGCCATATGAACCTACACTTCATAACATTACACTGCCACAAGGTGGCTCCTGTGACCCAGTGACATACTCCATACAAAGCTCCAGCAGTTACACTGCTCATTCTGAAATCATTTCATGCCACTTACTTTGTGATTCCCAGGACCCAAAGAAAAGAAAGTACATTTCACACTGTGCTGGCCCAGTTCCTCTGTGCCTCACTGTTCACAGAAACTGGCACACAGATATCTTGTAAATGGACTCTAACTGTGACATGTGACACTGCTGCACATTGGGGGTTGTTTCTCATTTTGCACAGTAGAGAAACCACACACTCTTCCTCTGGTCAGTGCTGTCCTCAACAGGACTAAAATCTTTGTCTGTTCAGAGTCACCAGTTTCAAACCAAGGTTTAGCTTCTGCATTTAATCAAAATGGGACCCAAGAACTCAGAGCTTGGTCTAAGGCCTTTCTGTGCTGTAGAGAAGTATTCCTTGCAGGAACTGGTCTTAGATCCTGGGTATTTATAACTTTTTTTTTTGCCTTTTGTAGCTGGCTTGGCACAAATGATGGTATTCTAAAGAGACATTTGTGTTTCTCAACCCATCAGATTATTAAAACAGTGGAGTCCACTCCAAAATGGGAATCTCACCAGTAGTCTCATGCTGGGAGAATGAAGAGGTTCTAGCCGAAGGGGACCACTTTGTACGATGAGACGGAAGCCCACACAATGATGGGGCAGTGGTGAGCCTGTCTACAGCTTGACTGGACTGCTTAGATGTATATATCCTTTGTTTTCTATTTAAAGGTTCATCTTAACTTCAGGATCTGAAAGTTGGATTTCAGAGAGTCAAAGATCAGCTGAGGATAGTGAAAAATGGACTTTTGAAGAATCGAAGATGGAATTGGCAATTCACTTGTCTTTTTGGCCCTTTCCTCCAAATTAGCCATTCTAAATAAATATCTTTCTACTTCCTAGTGTTCCTTTGGGTCTTTTAATTGACTTATTGAGGATGGATGGCTAAACCCAGTTTGGTTCACATGGTGTGAACCCCCAGTGCTCTTGAATTCTGCCGTGCTAATGTGTGGTTAAGTCAAGAACGTTCCATGCATGGCTTCCTGCAAATTAATGTTTGTTTTTGACTGAGCACTGCTACTTTTTTACCTTGTCTCCAAGCCCGGATAGTGCTGCTCTATGCATGACCCATTTTATCCATAAAGCTTCCACAGAATTTTAGACTTATTCAATGCTAATTTTCCATAGCAGATAAATTTTCATCAATCTTTCTAACTCTTAATTGAATTCCACCCTCTTATCCTGTATTGGATTCCTTAATTTTTACCTTGTTGTGTTTTGTTGCAATTAATGTGTCAGTTTATTTGTGTCTCCTTTGATTTTTTAACATCTTGCACTCATTTATTTGGCCTTTTTGTTTGAGACAGGGTCTCTCTACATACCTCTGGATGTCCTGGAACTCACTAAATAGACCACACTAGACTTAAAATGACATAGATCTGCCTGCTTCTCCCTCCCCTGTGCTGGGATTAAAGCCATTCATAACCATGCACAGCTCCCTTTGATGTTTTTGTGTGGAATTTTGTCTATTTTTGTGTGGAATTTTGTCTATTTCCCTGTCACTGAAAGCCATTACTGTGGAATAGGTGATTTGGAGAGGTGTCATCACCTTGGTTTTCACATGCCTTGTGGTTTTGAGTTAGCTTATTAGATTAGTTAAATTCTTTCCCATCTTTCTTTATTATTGAGAATTTCATACCTGTGTACAATAAAATGAGATCTTATCTATCTCCATTTTCCTCAGGACAATTCTGCCATATCCCATTAGGTCCTTTTCCCAACTATGTGATTTGTTTTGGGATCAAGTCTGGTGCTTAGAAGACAAATTGAGCAAAAGAAAATGAGACCCCAATACTTCTACAGCAAACACTTCTATCAAAAGAATGAAGATGAAAGATTTCAACCAACATCTTCTTCATTGAAAATATTATTCTATTATTATGATTTTGGTGAAAGAGTTTGTTGTTGTGGAGTTGAAAACAAACATAATCCCTAGAACATCCCTGACAGTACAATACTGTCTGTTTACTCATTTCAGTTTCGCATCCCAGAACCGTTCTATTAGTTCCCAGTAGAGTGTCTCAGCTCTGGGTGATCCTTTGGGATATTAGGTCATAGTTGCTGGCTGCACCCCTGGGTGGTCCATCACCTATCATACATTGATTGCCATTCTCACCTAAGATGGAGATTTGTGTATGGTGATCTTATATCTTATATAATAGAACCCTGGGGAATATATTACTTTCAGGATTTTTTTCCTCAGTGATAGAAGCTGGACAAGGCTAGGGGAAGCCTCTTCCAGCACTACCTGGATTTGTATATTTAAACTTCTTGCCTCAGATGCATGCAGGTCGAGTTTATGTCTCATATTCTTTCTTTTTTTCCTTTAAACTTTTTGAAGGTTTCAAGACAGGTTTTCCCTGTATAGTTCTTACTGTCCTGGAACACTCTCTGTCAACCGTGCTGTCCCTGAACTCAGAGATGCATGAGTATCTACTGCCTACATTCTGGGATTAAAGAAATGCACAACCACTGCCCAGCTGTCCTTTATGCTTTTTATTTTATGTTTATGGCATTTCAGGACATGAACTTGTGGCTAGACAGGTTACAGGTGTTATGGGAAAACTTAGTACTATTA